CCAGACTGAAAACGTGACATGCCGTTGCAGTCCAACTGCTGACCACTCTCTCAAGGCGGAGTGGTGGTCCAGCCTCAGCGCCAGCCACACGCCCAGCTCGGAATGGTTTTCTGGGCCTCGGTGCTGGCCACGCTCCCGCCTCGGAACGGCTTTCCGGACCCAACGCCGGCCACACTGTCCGTTCAGAGTGACGCTCTGTCCTCAGCGCCCAGGCCGCAGCGGCTTTAGCACTGGCCACGTTCGCAGCTCCCAGCTCGGAGTGGTGCATAGATCTTCGTGATCAGAGGGCGCACTACCAGCTCGGAATGCCACGTGAGAAGCTTGAAGTGTGATCAGAATGCAGCGCTGGCCACACTCGCAGCTTGCACTGTGCCTGGGCCTCAGCGCGGGTCACAGCCGCATCTCGGAGTGCTGCTCCCGACTCCGGGTCGACCGCGCAGTCATCCTCAGTCCGGAGCCCCATGGCGCCGTCGGCCGCAGGTTGCGCGCGCGACGCGCGTATGTCGATGGCCTGCTGTCGAATCAACTCGTGGAGTCCGCTTATATCTTTGGCACAGTGTCGATGGGATATGGATCAGGTTCTGAATGGGGTGCGCCAGGCTAGGAGGTGTCGTGCGTCGTACGTGTGATCATCAAAAAGCATGGGTGGTTGAATAATTGTGGATTCACCGGCTAGACATTGGCCAGCCGCCCTCGCAGGAGTCGTGCTCCTCGTTCGTGAGCCAGACGAGTGCGGGCTTGGAGCTACTTCTCAAGCGCGACCGAGCGTTCTATAGCGAGTTGTCATGGGATGGTCTTGCCACGCACGTGAATGGCATGTGGGCAGATGCCAGGTGGGCACATTGATGTGGAACCATGGCGTCTTACCATTGTCAGACACCTGAACGATGTCTGTGACTTTGAATCCAGGTGATGGCCACGAGTCATGGTCATGCATCATTTTTTGGGCATGCGTGTGTAGTGCGCAGCACTGCTGTCCAGAGAGTATCTTGAAGAGGAGATGCCCAGCCATGTTCCAATGGCAATGCAAGATGCTTTACCCTGGTTCGCATGTTGTAGGGATGAGAGCACAAGGGCAAAGGGCCGCACTTTGACGCCCCCTGTTCCCAACCCGTGACCAGTTTTTAGCCCCAGCCCAACCGACCTGAACGCAGTAATCTCACCCCCCTGTCTGGCCCCTGCCTCTGCCCACCACGACCCCACCGCGTATCCGCCTGGTCCGACTCCCGGGATCGCTGTGTGTGTGTGTGTGCTTGTGCGTGTAAGCGCTTCCCCCCTCCTCCCCTCGCGCGGCCGCCCTAGTCTTCTTTCCTTCCTCTTGCACGCCGGACAACTCGCCTTTCGGTTGCCCCGATTAGCCTCACGCTGGTGCGGACTGCCTCTGCCCCGCCGTGGACGGACAAGCGTGTGTGTTCTTCCAGCCATCCTTTGCGAGTTGGTGTCCCCGTTTTGAACCCGCAGCGCGTCTTCTGCCATACGGTGGCATTCGGCTGGAGGCCTTGTCGCCATGGGATGCAGGCCTCGCCGACTTTCCGCCCTCGTCGCCGCCACCCCGCTGGATGCCCCAGGCTCCCGGTCGCGCTCCCATCGGTCCCCGCCTCCCCTCACTGGATTCCAGGCCTGGTTTTCGGAGGCGCTTCAGACGGTCCGCCCTGGGCTCGAGGCATAGGCTGCTGTGGCAGATAGGCTTCTCATTTCTAACAGTGGGCATCGCCTACATGACCATTGGGCACGGTGAGGTGCTTGAGAGGGGGACTGGGGGGCGGAGATACATACACCTGCAAAGGCTACAGATCGTAGAGGTCTTGAGGAATAAAGTGCCGTAAGCCTCTCCCGACTGTGGGGTGGGGATGCGCCACGGTGGCCCCCGAATGCTGCGCACCAAAGGTCACTTTTGCTCAGGGTCACTCTTGCGCGTAGCCGAACACTCCTCACACGTTTCGTGCTCCCTAGGGAGCTCGACCTAAGGTTTCAGTGGGTGCCGACGTATGGCACCACCATCCCCCTGTTGGCACACCCCTCACACGAACGCGCACCGTGCCCTGTAGCGAACTCCACTTACGGCCCCAGTGGCAGGGTACGCATGGAGGCGCCGCCCACTTCAGCACACTCCTCACGAAGACCGTGGTCCCATAGGGAGCTACGCATACCGCATACGGCCATCAGTGGGAGGGTCTGCATGGCGGCGTTCCCATTCCGGCACACCACTCACGAGGATCGTTGCCACGTAGGGGGCTCAGACCTACGGCCCCAGTGGCAGGGCCGTATGGCGGCGCCGCCCATTGAAGCGCACCCATCATTGGGAACGCAGACACATATGAAAGCTCCACCTACGGACCCGGTGTGAGGGCCCGCAAGGCCGCGCCTTCCATTTCGGCGCACCCTCACTCGTTTCGTGGCACCATACGGAGCCTCACCGACGGCCCCAGTTGCAGGGTCCGCTATGCTGCGCCGTCCATCCCCTCGTGGGGGTCGCAGCCCCACAGGGAGCTCCACTCACGGACCCAGTGGGAGGGTCCGCAAGGCGGCGGCGTCCATTCCGACGCACCCTCTTTCGTTTCGTAGCACTGAAGGGAGCTCCACCGACGGCCCCAGTTGCAGGGTCCGCTCTGCTGCGCCGCTCATTTTGGCACAACCCCTCAGGAGAATCGCTCCACCCTCGGCCCCAGAGGGATGGTCAGCAAGGCGGCGCCGCCCATCTCGGCGTACCCATCACGAGGATCGCGCCCCCATATGGAGTTTCACCTACGGTCTCAGTGGGAAATTTGCATGCGTATCCGCTCGTTTTGGCACACCCCGCATATGAGCCCCTCCTACGGCCCCAGTGGGAAAGTTTGCATGCGTTCCCCGCGCGTTTCGGCGTACCATCACACGTTTCGCGCCCGCAGGGAGCTCCACGTAGGGCCCCAGTTGAAACAGTTTCATGCGCTTTCAACCCAAGTCGACGCACATCCCTCACATGGGGCCATGCATGTGAAGGTTCACCACCAACGTTACATGAAGGCTTCTGAGGGTTGTGCCCTCGCCAGGCGAATTTCTTGCAAGCAGGGCCTATATGGTTACCGTTCGATTTGCATTCAAATGTCGCGACTTCCCGCTTTACCAGAAAGTTGTGGGAAGCGCAAACGCGTCCAGCAACAGAGGAGTTGTGTGTGCTCGCTGATTTGTGTGCTCACATGCCTTGTGTGCGATGTGATTGAGCATCGAGGCTCTCAGCGAGGCGCAGGCGCAAGATAGTGCCTCGGAGGCCTACGGACTGCGAGGGTTCTTCCGAGGGTCATATCGAGTCTCGGGTCTTGCACCTCTTTGCCAGTGTTCTGGGGGCCAGGCTGAGGGTTAAGACTGGGGGAGGGCTTGGGTTCCGAAGCAGCGCCATGAACTGTCAGATTTCCGCCGAAACGTGTTTACTGTCCCACTGCTCAGCGGGGTCCGAGTGTCGTCGCTCGTAGGAGCATAGCAACGGCTCCGAGCCGCCTCCCCGTCAGCCCACTGGTCCTGTGAGCAAGCTTCTGGGGTGCAGCCTCCTGCGAGGCAGGGCAAAACGACGAGGCCACCTTTTTTCTTGTCTGCAGGGCGGGACGATCTCTTGCTTCTCTTCACTGGGCCTCGCAGCAACAGGCAGAAGCGGAAGCCGGCTCGGAAGGGCCTCTTGGCCATCGCGGAGGCGGTGCATGCGCTTTCCGAGGCAGCCAAGGCCAGTTCAGCTTCTTTTGTCTTGCGGGCGGGCAGCATGGCTCTCCTGAGGCCCTCTTCGTTTTCCGTCCCTCGTTTCTTCCCCTCTTCTTCCCAGTACGCCTCTGGTTGGGCACCGGTTTTGGATGCAGCACTGCTCGCGCGCCTCCGCCTCCTCCTCCCCGCCTCCTCGCTCCTCCCCGCCCTGTCTTCCTGCCGCCTGCCTGCGCCGCCCGAAGTGGGGCTGCGATCTGCGAAGCCGTCGCCACTCTCGTGAGCTCCTGGACCGGCCAGCGCAGGGACGCCTTGCACGCGGATCAGATCGAGGCCTCGCCGTCTTTGGGGGCTGCGATCTGTGAAGCCGTCGCCACTTTCGAGAGCTCCTGGGTCGGCCAGTGCAGTGACGTCTTACGCGGATCAGATCGAGACAGCGAGATTTATCATATTTGTGAGAGCGCGATGTGCAAAGATTTCCTGCAACATTGCCGCCCCACTGGCAGATTTTGAAACCCAGCCCTGACCGCCAGCAGTGTCGTCGATCCTGACGTTTCTGTCCCGGCTCTCCTTGTGATGGGATCCTCAATCCCATTATCCGTCGCCCCCCCAACGCGAAATATGACGTTACAGTTGGGTAACAATGTAGTGGCCTCCAGCCAGTGCCGCCGATCCGGGACACTCCGGATGATGATGATGATGATGATGGTGATGATGATGATGATGATGATGATGATGATGATGATGATGATGATGATGATGATGATGATGATGATGATGATGATGATGATGATGATGATGATGATGATGATGATGATGATGACTGATGATATGATGAATTGGGGGTGTGGTGGTGGTGTGGTGCTGTGGTGGTGATTGAGATGATGATGATGCGTTATGAGATGATCTGTTGATGCTGATGATGTGATGATGAGCTGTGATCCTGATAATTATGAGATGATGATGCTGCCGATGAATGATGATTATGATGATGATGATGATGATGATGATTATTAATGATGATGATGATGATGAATGATGATGATGATGGATGATTTATGATGATGATGATGGATGATGATGATGATGAATGATGATGATGATGATGATGATGATGATGATGATGATGATGATGATGATGCTGCTGCTGCTGCTGCTGCTGCTGCTGCTGCTGCTGATGATGATGATGATGATGATGATGATGATAATGATGATGATGATGATGATGATGGTGATGTGACGATGGTGATGGTGATGGTGATGGTGATGTAGGTGATGATCCCGGCCTGCCCTCCCCACCTCCCCTCCTCTCTCCTGTCCCCCTCCCTCTCTCTCCTTCCCCCCCCCGTTCTCTCTCCTTGTCCCTCCCCCCCCACCTCTCCTCTCCTATTCCCCCCTCCCCCTCTCTCCTGTCCCCCCCCCCCTCCTCCCCCCCGAATCCCTCTCTCCTGTCCCCCCCTCCCACCCTTCTCCTGTCCCCCCCCCTCCTCTCTCCTGTCCCCCCCTCCGCTCCTTTCCCCCTTCCCCCCCCCTTCTCCTCCTGTCCCCCCCCCTCTCTCCTTTTCCCCCCCTCCCGCCCTCTTCTCCTTCCCTCACCCCCATTCCCCCCATTCCTCTCTCCGTTCCCCCCCCCTCTTTTTTTCCCCCTTTTCCTGTCCCCCTCCCCCCCGCCCCCTCTCTCCTCTGCCCCCCCCCCCTCTTCTCTCCTGTCCACCCTCCCTCTCCTCTCCCCCCCCCCCCTCTCTCTCCGTCCTCCCCCCCTCCCCATCTCTCTCTGCCCCCCCCCCCTCTCTCCTTTCCCGCCTCGCGTGTCAATTCTTTCGTCGTTGGCGTCCCCCCCCTTGCAGAGCGAAGCTTGAGCGAGCTCCCTCCCCCGCTCTCTCCTTCCCCCCCCCCCCCTCGCGTGTCAATTCTTTCGTCGGTTTTCGTCGTTTGCGTCCCCCCCCCCCACCCCCCCCTCCAGAGCGAAGCTTGAGCGAGCTCAAGCCCACGCTCTCAGAAACTCACACGCCGGATCGGCGGAATTTTGTACAGTTCAGCATCAGTCTACGGACATTCCGACATCATGAGCTCACGCTGGCGCGGAGGCCACTTCTAACAATGCAGCAGAGCGATCGAACTCATGCGGAACACCGAGGCGACTCTGCATCACCACCTTGACATGCAACCGACTCTAAAGCGCAATCTTAGACCAGGTTAGTTCGAAGTCTAACCTAACATTACGGCTACCGCAACACCCACATGACACTTCAGAGCCAGACGCTGCATTTCAATCGTCATCATCAGCGGAACGCCTGAGGTAACATTCAAGCTTAACGCCAGGTGTGTGAGTATAGTGAGAGCTAGTTGGGAAGGAACATCAACAGCTAAGCCTACCGCGTAACACGGAAGCTCATACAGACGCACATGTTAGCTAGCTGTGTACGGCTAAAGCGAGAGCCACACCTCAAGCATACTATGGAACAACCAGTTGGTTAACACCAGCGCTGAAGCTAACATGTCATAGACAACCTATAACGTGTGAAGCCATCAATGTTGCTGCAGCATAAACTGGAGCCATACTTAAGCTAAACCACAATCTTAAGTTGAACCTGGAGCGGAATCGGACCTCGTGGTTAGAGCTACATAGTTGCTAATGTTAACGCGCCAACCTCTTTCATTGGATTCTTGTCATTTTCGTCTTTGTGATATGGGTATATTATGGCCTCTCCATTTGATTGCACTCGATCTCTATGCTGCTCTCCAATGCTTCATCTCGCCCAAGCACAGCAATTTGGGCTGGAGGCAGCGAGGGACGCACATCTTTGTGTAATGGCAACATGTAGCTGACGTTCTCGAGCTGTGCTGAGGGAAGCCAGAAGGGGGAACCTGCCGGTTGTGATGGATTCGAGCTTCAATTCTCTGACACATGGAGGTGCACTGCGGCAATGATGCACGTGGTGCTTCCGTGCTGGCGCGCGATGATGGCAGTGCCGCCACTCTTCTTTTGTTTCTGCGCCGCTATGATTGTAACCCGATCGGTGTTCCTCCTTTCCTTTCTGCTGCCTCATGGCCGCTGTTGCTGTCGACGGTGTCGCCGTGGCTGCTGTTGTCGGTGTTGCCTTTACTGTTGTTGATACTGCCTTTATGGCTGTCGCGATTTCAGGTTGCTTTGCTCATGATGTCGCTCCTGCTGTGGGCGCTTCTGCTACTGCTCCTGCAGTTGCTACGGATTGCTGGTTCGTGCTCATCATAGTGTTGCTCCCGTGTCGTTGGATGTTGCGGCGCAGCCACCCTTTACCGCTGTTGCTGCAGTCGGTGCCACCGACATGTCCACGTGTGCCAACACGAGTGTGCATCTTCTTTCCTGCCCTACACCCTAGGCGATGCTTAAGAAAACTGAAGTTTTCGGCCAGAGTCTCGATTATTCTAAATGTTTCAATGTAAATCCTAAGATTTCAATAGAAATTCTGGGTTTGTAATCAAATTCTGAGACTCTGAGTTTCTTAACCCATGATTTCTTAAGCATTTCGCAGGGTGTATGTCTGTGGCCATTTGGGCTCAGGCGCGCGGACGTTTCTGAATATCGGTTGCGCGCGGCAGCTGGCCCTTGGGCCTGCGCCCTCGAGGCAGAGAACTGTGGAGAAGGGTCGGGGGCGCGGGGCAGCGCCCAGTGCGACCCTCCGGGCAGGGAGCGAATTGGAGCCCTCGGGGGCTGCCTCCAGGGTGGGGGAGTTTCCCTCTCGTCGAGCTCGCAATCTGGCGAACATGGCCGGCAAGAGGGCCAGGAAAGAGGCGCGACCTCGGATGTCACACCCAAAATGAGGTTGACGCCCCGTTCGGGGGGAGGGCGCTCTCGTGGAGCGTGCCCCTGCGTGCGGGCAGGGCTTCGGGTCCGTGCCCCTTCCCCTCCCGCCCGCTCGCAACCGGCGTCGGGGCGGGCGGGTCGTCGCGCGCTCTGCGGCCGCCCGCTGCGCGGGCGGCCCCGGGCCCCCGTGGCCGGCGTGGCCGGTGGGCGCCCGTTCGCGCGCCCGCCCCCTCCGTCGCGGGCGGGGGGGGGCGCCCGACGGGGGGTGCCCCGTCGCAGGGGGGGTGGGCCCTGTGGATGGCGGGCAGGGCTCGGGGCCGCGCTGGCATTGCGCCGGTTTGGTCTTTGCGCGATCGGGGCAGCGGGTCTTCGCGCTTCCGTGGCCGCTTGCTGCTCGGGGACAGACCGCGCTGGCCTCCGGCGAGGTCCGCATGGGCGCGGCTCGCAGGCCTCGCGGCAGATCTCGCGGGCGTTCGCGCGTGGGGCAGACGCGCTGCGCGGTGGGTTGGCCTCCCAGCGTGCCGCGGCAGTTCTTCGCGGGGGCGGCGAGGGCCGGGGCGTCCGAGTTGCCGGAGGAAGGGCGGCAGGAGAAAGCCATGGGCGCCTGTCGGCTTCGAGTTGGTCCACGACAGCCCAGCCAGGTGGGCGCGGGTCCTGGCCGCGGGAAAGGTGCTTGGGCTGGCTTTCAAACGCAGCTGTTGGGTGGCGCTAGGCGCCCGCCTCGGAGGGATCAGGGGCGGGGGCGGACGGGCCTGCCGAGGGCTCCAGACCCGCCCCAGTCGCGCCCCCCAGGGCGGGGCGGCGCTGTCAGAAGAATGCGTGGCGGGCAGAGGCCGCGCGGGCTCGGGCAGGCAAGCGCCGCCGAGCCCAGGGCCCCGGCAGTCTTTGACCGGGTGCCCCCCCCCAACGCCGCGAAGACGCGCGCCTCGCTCGTCTGCGGGAGGGGCAGTGCCAGGCAGCGGCGGCGAAGTGTCCGCGGTTGCGCGGGTCGACGGGGCTCTGCGCGACCCCGTCAGGGCTGGGGCCCCGCCGGCGCGCGCGAAGGTGGACCGCCGCGGAGGCCGCGGGGGCGCGGGGGGTGGCGGTTGCCCCGCTCGCGCCTTCCGCCGACCAGAGCACGTTCGGCTGAAGACCAGCGGGGCGCCCGTGGCGCCCAGGGCAAAAGAAGCAGCGGGCGGCGGACGAAAACGAGGACAGGGCGGCCGCCCCGCCCGAGGGCGAGGCGGTCGGGGTCGCGGTCGCGGCGGCAGCGCTTTCCTCAACTCCCCAGAGCAGCCGCCCAGCCCGCCTCCGCTGGAGATCGTGGCTCCACCGGCCTGGGGCCGCCGACTGCGCCGCTGTCGGAGGAGGGGCGACAGCCGTGGCGATGCGGACAGTGCTAGAGGGTGCTCCTACCCACGAGAAGGACATGCTGGCGCCTTGCAACGTGGGGCACCGCCAGCCACGCGGGGTGGGGGCCTGGTGGAGGGGGCGCAACGGATTCAGGACCAGAAGCTGCGAATGATCAGGAACTTCGGGGTTCAGGTCGACGAGCGGTTCGGGGGGCGCCGGGCTATCTTCGGACAGGCGGAACGCGGACGTCAGCTGGGAGGTCGCCAAGGCCGCTGAGTGCTACGTGTAACTGCTCGGGCGGCCAATCCCACCAGAAGGGCGCGCGCAGCTGTGTATGTGTGTGTGTGTGTGTGTGTGTGCGTGTGCGTGTGCGTGTGCGTGTGCGTGTGCGTGTGCGTGTGCGTGTGCGTGTGCGTGTGCGTGTGCATGTGCGTGTGCGTGTGCGTGTGCGCGCGCGCGCGCGTGTGTGTGTGTGTGTGTGTGTGTGTGGGCGCCGCAGTTCAGCGCGCTGCAACGTGAGCAGCTGAGGCAGCGATGCAGCGGGGCAGCGTCCAGCGGGGCGAGGCCGCTGGGGCAGGAAACGAGCCCCGCGGGCGAGGGTGGGCTCGTCTCAAGAGGGGGCGGGGTGCGCGCAAGAGACGCCGCCGCCTTGAGCCACATATCAGCCTGGCAGGAAGCTCCCTGGGTCAGCCGCGGCCTCCCGCGGAGGTCATGCGCCGGGCGGGGCCAGCGGGGCCCTCCGTGGCGGCGGGCGGCGAGGAAGGGTCGCGCCCTCCCGCGGGCGGCAGCTTTCAGCCAGGGGCTGCCTGGACGGAGGGAGAAACTCGGGGGTCTGCGCCACCCCCGAGTATGGCCAGTAGCCGCCTCCGTCAGGTGACGAGCGCGGAAGAGGCGCAACGGCGGCCCCCCCGCCAGCCCAGCCGCAGGTGGCCAGGGGTCGGAGGACTTCGAGGGGCGGGGGATTGGCGGCCGATCGAGCGGCCTGCCGCCCAACCCTGGAGGGGGGATTTGAGTTGGGGCCGCCCAGAGAACGGCGCGCGCAGGGCGCGAGCAAACGGATGCGCAGCGGAGGGGCGCCCCCACCACAGAGTGCTGCCGTTCAGCGGAGGTCAGCAAGGTGCCCCGCGACCGTTGCCAGCTCGGCCTGCGTCGGGCGCCCGTGGCGTGCAGTTGGCGGCGGCCGAGGGCCTCGGCGCAGCAGGGGCGCCAAAAAGGGAGTTCGCGCGCCACTCAGCAGCGAGGGGTAGGCGCTGGGGCGGCCGCGGAGAGCAGCGAGGTGCCCCGCGGCTGCCGCATCCTCGGCCTGCGTGGGGCCCCGTTGGGCGGGGGAGTCTACTTTCGGGGGGCGCTCGCTCGGGCGCCCCCGGCCGAGGGCCTCGGCGCGGTGAGGCGCGGCCGCGGAGGACGACGGGGGTCCGGGCATCAGCGGAGGGGCGGTGAAGGGGCAGTGGTGGGCATCCACGGCAGCCCGGGACGGGCCAGACGGAAGGGCGCCGCGGCGCGCCCCAGTGGGGCGACCGGCCGCCGACGGGGGCCGCGGCGGACCAGACGCGCGGGGGGAGGCTCAGGGGGGGGGCCTTCGCCAGGTCGCGCAGCCGAGGAGACGGGCGCGCCGCCGCTCGGGATGGCGCGGCCAGACATGGACGGGGAGCGGTCGAAGACTAAGAGCGGCGTCGCGGGCGGCGCGCGCGTCAACGCGGTGAAGACGTGCAGGCGGACCTTGGAGACGGGGTGCAGGTGGCCCCTTGGGCGTGCGCAAGGTCCCGTAGCTCGCGACGCTCGTGTACTTCAGTGACGACGGGAACAGAGGGGCCCACGGGCCATGCGCGCCGACGGGGCCCAAACAGGCTGGCTCGTAGAGCCAAGGGGGAGGACGGGGTACGCGGCAGACGCAATCAACAACGATAGACTCCACTCGACCCGAGGACCTGCATGCCTTCTAAGTCGTTGAGATGGTTCTCGGTGCGGGCAAGGGCCAGACGAGGAGCCGCGCTGTTCCCCGGCGGGCTCATCGGGGCCCTGGTGCACTGGGTTGTGGACGAGGACCCCCCCTCGGGGAAGTGGGCGCGGTTGCGAGCAGCGTCGCCCTTTTCGTCGATGTTACCGCCGCTGTTGCAACCGTCTTGCAGCTGTCGTGGTCGTCGTCTTCGTCGTCGCATTCGCCGCCGCCGCCGCTGTCGTCGTCATGGTCGTTCTCGTTTTCGAATGTGCATTGTAGTTTCCTTAATTCATGCATTGCTCATCTTGCTGATTGGTCCTCGTCCCTCGTGTCCAAACCCATCCATTTCTCGTTGGAAAACTTAATGTTACTGTCGGGCGCGGGGATGATGCATCACAGCACGCCTCATGCTGATGGTTTGCTGAAGCGTGGGCACGTGTACATTCTATGGGCTGAAACACGAAACAATGATTATATACTAGTCGGTCACTTCACAGGCCTGGCAGCTATTTCTGAACGCCAGCGTGAGCGGTCATGCCGACGTACAGTGGGTACCATGTGAGCGAGGGTGTGGTTACGTGATCGTGTAGTAGGGCACAACACGATCACGTCAAGGGTGTTGGCGGGGAGGAGGGTGGGCAACACCCCCTGAAGTAATCTGCGCCCCGCAGCATTCGGTTGTTCTTCAGTTCGGCTGGGGCTTCTCGTGTGGCGTGCAGAAGAGCACCCCCGAGCTGGATCAGGCCGTGGGGAGTTTTTCCCAGTGCCGGCAAAAAACAGTAACGGAGGCTTGCACCGGACACCATGCGAGTGAGGGTCCGACGATGTCATCGATGTGAGCGCGTGGCAGAGCACAGCACGAGCACGTGCCGGCGGGCAAGACACATGGCGGCAAGTACTGAATGATTTTGTTCCCAGCAGACCTTTTTTTGGAGGGCGACGAACGAAAGGAAGAGGGACGTCTTGGGAGTTGTGGCCCCTCATTTTGTTTGTTTCTCTCTCTCTCTCTCTGGGGATGGCGTGCGTCGTCAAGAGAACCACGTCTGATACACATCATGCTGTGGAGGGTTCCTTGTTAATGCTAACTTACACAGTTATATCGAGTTGGAACGGTCACCATGTGATTGATGGTTTGACGATGTGTTGAGGTGGCACAGCACTACGCAAATACGTCAACGCACCATCTGACAACAAGCCAAAATCGGCAGACTATTCGACCTCCTCATCCCAGTCACCAGGAGCAATCTCCCTGCTACGCTGGTCACTCTCTCCCACGCAACAAGCGCCTCAGGTGATTCTAAACCGTGAAGCCTGGCAATGTGTAAGACAATGAGCGATTGAATGTCAACGATGGCCGAATTAGACGGCTGGGCAACTGCCGTCGCAGGGGGGGGCTTCACAGCATCAGCGCTAGGGCCTGACACCTCACCAGCAGCCCCCCCCCCAAGAGCTCGCAGCCCACAGGGCGACAACTGGAAGGAGAAATTTGCCCCCTGCAAACGCATTCAGCGTTTTTTTGCTCATGTCGTGTGATGTGCGCGTGCCGCTCGGAGGAATATCCCCGAGCGTGTAGTGGGTAGTGGACGCGAGAGGCTGGGAGCACATGTGAAGCACGAGTGGCTCTGAAGAGTACAGAGGAGTTGATTTGAGATGCTCTGGATATTGTTTTGGGGGTGGCAGGCGCCCCATGGCGCGCCCCCCCCCCAGGGCGACCTGGCCGTCCGCCTGGTCGAGCGCCTGAAGGAGAAGGCAGCCTTCGAGTACAGGAGGCTCAAGGTCGGCCCTGCTCCCGCCCACGAGGAGAGGCACAGTGCCGTTTTTGATACATGCTCCGCGTGCGGATCATGTATGAAACATGCAGGGATTCAGCATTAACAGCAACGATGCGTGCGTTCATGCAGAAATTTATTCACATAATTAATCATGTATTAAGATCCGATATGTCAAAAAATCCCATGTGTTAAAAACTGTCCTGTAAGGAGAGGTGCGCGGGGGCGGGGTGAAGGCGGCACGGGGGAACGGACCGATACCGTGGGCGGAGAGCATATCCGCATCCGCGGCCTCGTGGGTCGGGCCCCTGGGCCGCGACCCCCGCGGAGGCGGAGCAGGTGCCCCGCGGTCCGGACGGAGCGCTTTTTCGCGGATGCCCCGCGCGGAACGTAGCCCGTGCGACCGCGTACCCGCGGGATCGCGCCCCGGAATCCAGGCCGCGAGGGCGCGGATGCGGATCTGTTCGCCGCTCGTGGCCGATGGAGCGAAAAGGGTGGGGGAGGCAGGACCTCACCACCCCACCAAACCAACTCAACCCAGCTCGAAGCCTCCAATTGGCCCTCCATTCCCAGTGGGGGGGCCCGTCGGTGAACATCGGAAAAACACATGTGGAACCCGTACTGTAGGCGCATCTTGTCGACCGGCTGTCAGCCTGCCGCCGGCGTTCAAGGTTGAAAGCCGCTGGCGACCCAGAATCGGTCGAGGTTGAAAGATCTGACGCTTCGGAAGCGGTCGATCGTTCAGGGTTGAACGATGGCCGCGGTGCCAGAAACCAACGCTGAAGTCGGCACGACACGAACCTGCCGTGCCGTGTTCCCAAGGGTGCCCTTGCATCCTTGCCCCTTCGGCCCCTCCTTGGCGACTCTCGCTGGCCAACCTCGTTCGAATCATGCCAACTTGGCCCTCGGAGGCTCTTGCATCCTTACCGCGCATCCTTCTGATACGGGTCGACTCTACCCTCCCCAACCCGAAATCTGGGTCTCCGGGCTGGGCTGGGGCGGCCTGGTGGGCAGTCCAGGCCGAAACCGTCCTGGCTCTTCGACCGCGGTGTCTCTGCCCTGCGGTGCGCCAGGCGCCAGGCCTCGGCGCGGCGCCGCCCCGGGACCTCCTCACGGCCTTTTTGGAGGGCGCGGTGGGTGCGGGCCGTGGCTGGGAGGTGCCAGATCTTGCTTGGCTCATGGCGAGCACCGAAGCAGAAAAACTAGGGGGCCACATGCGAACCCTACCCCTACCCCCCACGACTTCTGAGGGGGAGGGTGGGGTTCACTTCGCTCGGGAGCTCCCGAACGAGGTGAACCCCACCCTTCCCCTTCAGAAATCGTGGGGGGTAGGGGTAATCCAGAAGCCGCATTAAAGTGATCATTGAGGCCCTCTGTGACAGAGGGGGTGTTTTTCGGAGGCCCTCTGTGACAGAGGGGGTGCGTTCGGAGGCCCTCTGTGACAGAGGGGGTGCGTTCGGAGGCTCTCTGCGACAGAGTTGCTCGTCATCCCGTTCCTCGTCATCCTGCTTCTTGATTTCGGATATGTCATGCTACCACTGCGCTCATCATCTTTGCGTCTGTGATCCTCGTCGTGTTTTTCCATGCGTCCTTTTCACAATTTCCACCACATTATCCTCCGTTGCCGTTCTGGCCCGCCATCTACCTCGTCACTCTCCTTCGTCTGCATGTCCTTATTCTTTTCCGCTCTTTTTTCGCCTCCCCTCTGGTTCGATTTCCGCTCTTCGTCCACTTCGTTCATTCGTTTCCAACCCCCCTTCCTTTCAAGTTCTCCGCCGTCCAATCACGTCGCGTCGTCCGCCGCCGCTATGCTCAAACCACCCCGCGCCCGTGGGATCGCCCGCGAGCACCGGTGCAGCTGGGCCCGTCGCGGCCTAACGCGCGCCTGCGCCATCGTCTTGCAATGGGCGATGCAGGCGGATACACATGGGATGGCGCGGGAGGATGGTGGGATAGCCGCAGCAGCGGCTGGCGTGGCTGGGAGGACGGCCATGATTGGTCAGCGAGGGGTTGGAGAGACTGGCGACAAGACGGGCACACGCCAACGGAGGACGCCAAATGGCGCGATGGCCCTGCCGCCGCAGCAGCGGCGGCGGTCTCGCCTCAACGGCCGTCTCGCTTCGCCGCGCTTAGCGTTGTGAGCCCCCGCGCCCCTGGTCTCGGCAAGCCCGAATTCGATAATTTCGTGAGGGCTGCCCTCCGAAACGTACCAGAACTTGGGAACACAGTTTCAGGAGAGGGGTCGGGATCCCGAGCCGCGCCTGCGGCGCAGGAGCCCCGCGCCACCGCAGCGGCGGCGGCGCGCGGGCCCCAGGATTTTGAGAAGTTTGATGTTAATTATTTTTTGAGTTATGAAGAGAGGCTCGGCACTTCGTTTCAGCAACACAATCAAGCGTTGAAATGGTGGCGCCATCTGAATGAAGACCCAACTGCCCCGTTCGAGTCAGAAGCCAAGTGGTTTGACAATGCGAAGCCCACCATGGTCGCTGTTTGCGACCGCGGTGCGAGGACGAGCTTTGGTTTCAAAAGCGACGAGGAAGTCCCTTGGCGGTGGCAAGAGATGGTGGCGACGCTCAGGGAGGAAGATATCAGGGAGGTCGTGGAGGGGCCCCGCAGCAGCGGGGCTCTGATCGGCTGTTCCCTCGAAGTCCGGCCAAACAGCTACGACCACATGCGTCAGAGTATTGTGCGCGCGCGACAGTTCGCGGGGCAGCGGGTGAAAGTGAAGCTGCCGATGTGGGATTTCGTGTTGCACCGCGACGACGGGACAGGCGTCCGTTTACACCCGCACTGGGGCGACAGGAAGGTCGAAGCTCTGCCCCTCGTCCCCCACGCGGACACGGTGAGGCCACCAACCGCGGGTTTGGGCGGGAGCGACGGGTCAGGAACTTTTCGCTGGTACAAGGACCTCGGTGTGGAGCGTAAGGTCAAGTTCGACGCCGCCAGAGAGAAGGGGAGGCCGACGCCCTCTCAGGGGCCCCGCAGCAGCGGGGCCGCGGCGTCCAGCACCAGGCCCTCGGCGTCCGCAGCAGCGGGTGGCAAACAGTAGTTTTGGGACCGAATAACTCCCCAGACGATTTGGTTTCGGAGTAGATGGCTCCGCAGCAGCAGCGGGGCTCGAATGAAGGGCGCGCTGCGTTTCTGCAGGGGCGCGCGCGTCGGCCGCCGAGATCGGGGGCGCTCGTGCAGGCGCCGTGGCGCGATCTTCGTAAAGAAGTCTTCCCTCTCCTCCCTATCCCCCCATCCCGCCGCCCTCAACGTCGGCTCCTCGCCGCCCGTTCCTCGTCGCTCCACGCCTGTTCGTTCTCCTCCAATTTCCTCTCCCGCTTCCTCGTTCTCTCCTTCCCATTTTTCCCTCCATCCCATTGCATCCCTGGCACCCCAGCGAAGTTCGCAGTTCGAAGTTTGAAGTTCGGAGTTCGAAGGTTGCAGTTTGAATTTCGAAGCTTCGCACTTCGAGGTTCGATCTTCGAACCTTCGTCATCTCGTCGTCGTAATCGTCGTCCTCGGTCGTCGTCGTCGTTCCTCGTCGGCGTCGATTGTCGTTGTCGTCGTCGCTCGTTGTCGTCGTCGCCGTCGTCGTCGTGGTCGGCGTCGTCGTCGTCGGTCGTTGTCGTCGCTAGTCGTCGTCGCTGGTCGCCGTCGTGGTCATCGTCCTCGTCGTCGTCGTCGCGGTCGTCGTCGCCCTCGTTGTCGCCGTCGTGGTCATCGTCGTCGTCGTTGTCGTGAAACGCCCCACGTAGGAGGAGCAGAGAAGGGGGCAAGGAGAAATGAGCACGGTGGAGGGAGGAGGGAGGATTGAACAGGAAGAGGAGGGTGCAGATGGAGGTAGAAGGGATGAGGTAGTTCAGAAGTGGGAGCAGCAGACTGGCGCAATGGGAAAAGCCATGTGAGTGCAGGTAGGGATGGAAATGCGATAAAGTGAAGCCGCAGCCGTTGCAGGTCTGCCTCCCGCCGCGCCCGCCCGCCTCCGCGACTGGAGCCGCGCAGGAGCCTCTGCCGAAGTCTCCGCAGCAGCGGGGACTGCCAGAGGAGGCTCCTTCGCGGTTTTTGCGCCGCTATGGCGAGCATCGCGGGCAGGTACGACGTCGATGACTTCGAGCTCATCACGACGGAGGGCAGTGTTTGGCACTGGGCGACCATGGTGGTGCGGTTTCTCCAGTGGCGCAATCGTTGCCGCCATGCACGCGCCGTTGGAGTGAAGGGCCATATGCTCGTCGACCAGGCGCGGCAGATGATGGAGGAGGCGCGCCGCACCGAGGAGATGGGCAAGATGATGCTTGAGATGTCGAAGAAGAAGGTGAAGGACATCCCAGGCAATATTCGGTACTTTTGCCGCCAGCCGCACCAGGAGAGCTGAGCGGCGATCGGAGCTGGGCCGATAGAGGAGGACGAGGAGGAAGAGGAGGGGGGATGAGGAGAGGAGAAGGAGGGGATGAGGAGTTGGAGGCAGCACGCGCACCCGCACTAAGAGCCGCCAGCCGCGCCCGTCTCCGAGCATGAAACCCGAGCTTGGCTGGAAGGGGGGAGGGCGGTAGCAGAAACAGCGCAGGACAGGGATGGGAGAGGTCACGCATCCGCCGCATTAGCGGCGGTGGTGCGACAGTTCTCATGGCGGCGCGGCGGTCGCTGAGAAATGGAGCACGTGCGTGGGCCTGCGTGCGCTTAATTATGAGTGGCTCTCGTCCCTCCCCTCCTCTTCCTCCATGAGATCTCTCTCCTGGTGCATATCCCCTGCCAGTGCTCGTCCTGCTCCTCTATCCGCCCCCCCTCGTCCGTTCCTGCCACCAGCCACGTGGGGCGTTCTCAATCAACACCCCATTGAGTGTCCCCATGTGAAGGTTGCCCTTTGTCATGAGGGCGGACTCGCAAGAGCCGAGTGGCTGAAGAACTAATTAGTAGTTTGGGGTCCGAACAGCTCCCCAGACGATTTTGTTGTGGAGTAGGTGGCTCCGCAGCAGCGGGGCTCGAATTAAGGGCGCGTTGCATTTCTGCAGGGGCGCGCGC